TGTATATGTTTTCCGGTTCCTTTTGCCATATATTTGTCAGTGTCTCTAGGCTAAATGCAGGAATTTCTCATGGGAAGTTTATAATGCGTTACATTCCTGCTTGAAGTTTCATAAGCAGTCTTGACTTTAAAATTACTTTTCCTGGTCATGTTCATTATTTTTAAATTGTCATATACGTCAAGAACCTGCATGTTAACCTGACCCACACACGCGTTGCACTATATCTTCATGTCTTCTAAATTTAGAAATCATCTGAATCGTCTTTAATATTTATCAATAAACCCATCATAGTCGTTGTTGCTAATCGTATTTGGGTTTATGAATTGGTTTATCATATTACCAGCCTAAAATGCGAACATAGTTTAGATAATAAGATTACAAATTTAGGTACTATCAACTGCACTAGTAAAATAACTAAATCCCTAGGTAGCTGTTGGCTAAACAAACGTTTAAAATCAAAACTCCGTAGCCTACTAGAATTAACACTAAACGAATCTTTCTGAATTAAAATTTATAATTAAATTAGGCGTCTCGGATTCTTTAACGTTATAAATTTCTGATGATTTCGAATCACCTAAAGCAACAATACCTATTTTTCCACTGACTAATCCTCAATCAACAATATAACTAGTTAAATTTAATAGTTTCAGGATATCGTCATAAGGCATTGTCATAACTTGACAATCACGTAATATGACTGATAAAATTAATGAAACTATTAACGAAATCGGTCAACAAATTGGCTTATAATTACCATTAAATGGTGTTGTTTTCTTGGTATCTTCATCCATCACAGATGATTACAGTATGTTTCTCTATCAGTTGCTCATTCAGTAAATATCTCAAAACCTTGTCAGTCTAATTGATGGTTTAGCGACACAATCATGCATGCAAATAATCAGTATAAGCAGTCGAGCAAATCTCCTGCAAACTGAAAACATCACGTCGAATTTACCCCAACACTGACTAAGGTTCAAGCCATTATCATAGACATGAGTTGGGAGTGTACTCCCCTTGGTTACAACTTGTTTCCTCCCTGGTAATCACACGAGCGCCACTCACTGTTAATTATCTTGTAAAAACTTATTTAGCTGAATACATCTTGCAGCATATCACCTAGTAATGTAGTATATAGACTTAACTGATTTCAGTAACTTATAATCACTATATCTCAATTGAATCGTATTCCGCCTCATGATAAACTGCATACTTGCAACTAACTTGTATGCATCGTCAGCGGTCAGGTATAAATATGTATAAATAGTCTATGGCAACTTAGAACATTGAGTCTAGAGCATGTCTCTTACGAATACACTCATGTTTAACGATTTGTTCTTAGCTATCTATCCAAAACTCATATAATTATCACTCATGTATTGAAATTTTGTTTTAATAACCATTCATGTGTATTAGTAGTATTAATAAATTCTATCACGGTCAAGTAAAAACGAGGTTGAGAAAATCTCCACGTAACTAAATAAACCGTATGAAACTAACTGGAACTTTAGTTGGAATTCTTTTCCATGGTAATAATTTTGTTCTTTCAGTTAGCCTACTAATACAGATGCAATTGGAAATCACATATGGACGGGTTACCGGCATAATTGTTATTTGATTTCATAATTTAAACCAAAACTAATACTAATATTAACATTTCTACAATATTCATTACTTTAATATTTCTAAACACAAAATACTTACTACCTATACGTTAAGTTATTAACCAACGGCTATTAACACGCATTGTTTTATTATTATTACTGTAATCTCATTTTTTATAGCTCAAATAATCTTCACCCAAATTGTCATTTTAAGTGTGTTAAGCATGAAGGCAGATTTTTAAAAAAAATTATTACATGTATTTCCCGACCAGATGCTGCCGCTTTCTTTTTGATTTATCTTTCAGCTTATCATTAATCGGGGGATTCTTCCTAGTCTTGGTAACCTTCGGCGCACGACGATCCCATCCAATTCGGTATCGAACCAACATCACATTGATTCTGGTGGGAGAGTAGTGTAGTGGCATTGGACAATAGCCACACAATCCACAAAGCTGTGAACACGAGACTACTCAGAAAATAGATATTCAATATTTAACTCGGGGAAATACCTAACAATGGAGAAGGCGCGAACAATGAATTGAATGGACTGGAGTTGATCGAGTGGCATGGATCGGCCATGCAGGTGTGGTCTCTGGCGAATATTACCTTATATCTTCTATTCATATTAAATATATTGTTCTTTCTCTAGCCTAACCTTGTTCTACATCATGTATTGGTAATTGATACGATACAGTGAGTTGGTGTAGTCGATGGTGTGACTTCCACGTAAGATCTTATAGATTAGGCAGTTATATCATGACAAATCTACAAATTTAGGATTAGGTCTATTATTAGAGCAGTACTAATATCATAGTAGACCATAATTCTACACCCCGCTGGTTGAATCAGAGTTTGAGAGTATTGGTTACATCTGATGCACAAACTACGGCTCACCTCACAAGAACTGATATGGACCCACAGATGTCCTTGGTCACATCACGTGAGGTATTAAAAACGTATCGGGTATGTAGGATAAGATTCTTGTTCCCCTACTGTGAGGAGAAAACGGTCCGTATGTATCCAAAAGGCAGTAAGACCTAAGGATGAAGTACTCAAAATTAAACCTGACTGGTATCATACAAGGAAAATACTTGTCACATCAAGACCTCGAACTAATGGAAAAAAATCACTGTTCTCTTTCGTAGAAGTAAGCTTTTTTAGTTGTTATATTCTGGAGATATAAACTAGGATGATGTGCTCTTATCAACTTATTCCCATACATGTATCATCGACAATTGCGATCAGCCGTACACAATAAATCATGACACCTATACGCAGTGTTATTAAGTGCCGTGAAAATGATCTTAGAAATCAGCAACATAATAATGACGTGACCCGAGGATGATAAACGGTTCTTATCCAAATATGGTCTCCTAAATTGTTTGTCCGCCAACTATGTATTTGCTTCGATCATGATTCAATGAACACTATAAGTAGTCCTAAATTATGTACTTAGCAAGGTGGAGTAATGATTTACTTGCAAAAAGCGCTCATTTTCTCTGAAATGGTAACACAGGCGCTCGTTTATAACTATTGGCAGTTGCGAAAGCACTTTCATGAGATATATGCAAGCATATCAAACAGATATATGGTGTTACTCCAACGTATTTTCGACAAGAAGTGTCTCTAATTAAACTATCACACGCTGTACTGAAGGCTTTTAGAACAACAAAGCGAATAAACTAATATGTGCCCAAAGAAAAGCAGAGCTATCAGTGATCAATTGTTCATCATACAGACAATAAAACTTTTCAGTTGCTTTTTGATGTGAGTGAGCTTCAAGTCTTATTTTAACAGCTCAAAAAGTTATAGCTAAGAATCTGACTACTTGGCAGTAACAAAAAAGTACGGATGATCGACGTTTACGTGTGGGAATGTACCGATAAAATGTAACTGTGGTAACATTGTAAACAAACTAAACAAAAATTAGCAAAACCCAAAAATCCCGAAACTAATTTATATTCAGTCGCATGTGGTAGCTATAGCCGTTGATGTTGTTCCTTTTATCGGCTTCACTGGTACCACTGTAAAATCATGAAGTTCCACCAATCCTGACTCAGACGTCACTGTTTGCTTCATAAAAAAGGATCGTCTCCGATGTAAAGACACTTATTTACACTTAGGTTTGCAGTATATCTCCTACCTGATGTCCATTCAAATGATCGACTAACACCCCTTCAAACGGTTCGCTGGCTTGTCTGTTTAACATTTACCTCCAGGCTTGTTACGTTTTCGCTTCTGAATTTAGCGAGGTTTTAGATACGTCTTCACGAACTTTGTCTTCTCCTTCTTACTCAACGCTATTTCAAGGCAGATAAAGAAAGTATGTGGCGTTTGAGAGTTGCAAAAATATTCTTAGACGAGTAGGCAGTTGGAAGCATATTTACAAGAAAAGGTATAAATACAATAAACGAGGATTTGTCTTCATATCAGATGTTATTTTGAAGCATAAACTCGATTACTCATTTGAAAGAATACGTAAGGTAAGTTGTTGATTTAGACACATAAATGTGATGTAACTATAAGATCCTTCTTGGAAGTTTTGTGTGGTGTGTGAAAATCCCTCCACTACATGCGTTTTCCATGCGATATGTTGCTCTACCTAATTTTGGTCTGTTCGGCCGTTCACTCCGTTGATTGTTTTGACCGCAGATAAGATGAGTGCTATTGATTTGTTGTTGTAGTTTTCGTTTCTGTGGCGGTCGTAGTGAATTTATATGAGCCTCACAAATTATATATACGTTTTTGTAGATAATTCTCGGTTTTGTAGATGGTTAATGTGGACTTGAAGGTATACTTCTTGCTTGATAACGTGGTTTTGTATTTGATAACACTACATGTTATGTTCTGGAAAACTGTGGAATAAAATAATAAACCACTTTAATTACAAGCCTTGACTAATGAAAATGTCCCCGTTCGTGCTTATGACGAAATAGACCATGTTTCACTTGATATACCGAATATAAATTCGGAATCATTTATAGTTTCAAATTCCTCTACACTGGCCATCTCCAGAGCTGGCGATAAATGGGTAGCTAGGTGACATCTTAAATCTTCTTGAATGTAGGACATAAAACTAATTTATTAAAAATTTCATTCCCTAATAATATCAATAAACTCAGAATTCTAATGGTGAACAACAGTGATAACGGGTCGACCATGTTCTTTCTGAGAGATTCCATCTTCAAACTTTCCATAATTTAGGACTTGTCATCATCCTTTTTGCTACATTAGATGTCTCTTCGCATTTACAATCTGCATTCAATTAGGTATAACGCTTTTGGAGTTTCTTTCGATAAAAGTTGATAAACTGACTGCAGAATTGCTCAAAACTGTTTTCACTGTTTGCACTACTCAAACACAGATCCCAATGAACAAACAGTTCATGAACTCAAACAAGCAAAGTTGAAGTCTGAAAACACTAAGTGTACCGCTAAAGGAAGTGTTATTTTCAAAAAGCCCTTCCAGATGCCTATTGTTCATATGTCCTCATGTGTTATTTTTTCGTATCTAATTGTGATAACTTGCCGAAGAAACTCACCCATAACAATCGGAAACCGTTCAAAATTCTTCCGTAAGTCCTTTAATCTGGTATTCCACCGTATGTACATGGACAGATACTACAGGAAGACGTTACCTTCTATTTATGTCTTATTTCCATTGTTATAATAAGGCTTTCGCGCATGAATTTTACGTAAAGCTAGTATGGGAATAGCTCGCTTCTACCAATTCTAGCCTAGCTTACAATAGCGGAAGAACTAAAGTCCTATCTCTTTCTCTCAATGACAATTTAAGTGTTATATGATCTAAATCGGATTAAGATTTCATTCTTTTTAAACCCGAATTTTCATTTAAACCAATTCTGGTTTCCCGACTCGCTACAGACATTCTATTATGTGAAGGTTTAAGGGAAATGAGACATGAGATTTTGCGTTTAGTTATATCAATACAGCAAGGACTTGTCGAGTTCACAGCCATATAGTTTGTTCTTAAGCATAGATTAATCATTCCGAATACTAAGAACATGCACTTGATAGTGCTTCGCCTGCGGTTTTTCTTAGTGTGCGTTTATCCTAGTTTCCATGTGTTTGTAAAACTTCCGAAAGTTATCTCGTCTGTCTATCGAAGCTTTCAAGCCTATTTGTTTTCCGGGTCAGATATTTATCACATCCTTTCAGTCTTGAAGCCCCTCAGTTTGGTTTGTAAAGATGTTCGGTCGTCGTATCTGTCTATACTGTCGAATACCATCAAACTGCCAAGAGATACCTTTACGTACACAATGCTAAACAAAAACCAATTCAGCTGGTAAAATATGCTTTTTTAGTTTATTAAAAACTCTTAGGTCACCGGAATAGTTTACACCACTTTGTTCATCAACCTCCAATCCAAGAGCAAATCATTTAGCTATCCGATTTACGTAACTTAATGCTTTTGAAACGACATTCATGGATTACTAATATTCGACAGTATGCGTGCTCGTAACGGTGACTTAATGCCTAAGTAGTTGGGTTTAAGAACTTACGTCTCATAACCACACTGCTTCACCTACTCCGGTTCGGTTAGGTAGGTGACATCACTAGTGGTAAGTAAACTCGTACTTTGTAATCGAGTTTAATTATGTTGCGTGTTTTTAAAGTATTAGCTCAATATGATAATTTGTAATATAGTTGAGCAGAGTACTAAGCACTGGTAACAAAATGGTTACTAGGGCTGTTAATTTTTATTGCCCAAGAAGCCCTGGACTTTGGTTAATTATATTTCATTTTCCATCTATCCCAACGCATGATAGTGATTGGGATCGAAATAAGTTGGGGAAAATCACAGAAATCCAAAGTCAGTCAGTCAGTAACAACGTAGAACTTCGTACGTACGTACATCAGTTCGAAATGCCACACCACATTAGCACAGAGATGCAGTGGTCGATTCATAATCCCGTAGTGCTAGATGTAGTAAAATTATAAGCTGTAATCAGGAAAATTAGGATTTGAAGATGTTATTCGAGGAGTATAATCCAGTGAAATAAATTTGGAAAGAGAAAAAAGAAAGGGACACGAAGAATTCAGAAGATTAGAATTTAGGTGAACACAAAGAGTGTATGCACCTGCGCCATTGCAAACGACTTTGAGCCATGTCATTCAGGGTCTCTAACCATCCGTTGCTATCATCTCGCGGTCCCCAACAAGGTAGTCTACACCTAACAACATGATTCAGTCCACTTGTCAGTGACTTCATGGACTTGTGCCATGTTTTGGTCTGGCCGCCACTAACTTTCTTCCAACCTACTCCTATACCACTGAACATCGCACGTCGAGGCAGTCGATCGTTGGGCATACGTAACACATGTCCCAGCCATCTCAACTGATAAAGTTTCACTACGTCATCAATCGGTTTGCCATCCTCACCTAGTACCCGTTTCCTAACAACTGCATTAATTACTCGATGGTTCCAGTATATGCGAGCAATATTTCGAAGACACCTATGATCAAATACTAGTAACCTACAGATATCCGCTACTCTTACCGGCCATGTTTCACAGAAATCCAAAGCAATATGTAATATGTTAAGGTGCGTATAGAGGTGCATATATCCCGGTCCAGGATCACACGATTATTGTAACTGACAGTTGAATACGGTGAGTAACATGACTTAAAATCAACAGCAGTTACACAAATTTGTCTAGTCATTAGTTCCCCTTAGGTTTTGAATTTTAATATCTGTGTAATATGCTCGACGAGTTAATTCGTTCCATCCAACTAAATTGTTTGTCTTCACTTTGTCTTTCACTATCAGCAATATTATTGTTATCGTTTCAACCTCTCTGATTCTCATCATGGTAATTTCCTTTTTTTGTGTTGATGTAATGTGGATACTTGAACTGATGTACATTCGATCCAGATGCGATATTGTCTCGGAGTGATTAAGTAAGATACAACATAGTTGGACAAAGGTGGAAAATGTCTGGTAGTGTGTTTCCCAGAATATGTACTTTCTATGAAATCTAACTAGAAATTCCTAGCTACCTTTTTAAAGGATGACATAACTGGAACTAAATCGGAATCTTATTTCCTATACAAAAGATAGTTATGATTTCCATCCTATTTTTGCATGTCATTGACCTCAAGAATCGTTTAAAAAGTGACCTGTGGAATATAGTGAACACTTGTCAAAATGAAAAATCTTGTTCTCTCTATTCTAATGAATAAAAACTCAAAGTAATTATCCATGATGGTATTTTTTTCAGGTGCAGGCGTGCAGTAGAACTAAGAGCATTCCTCGGTTTGGTGAGAAATTTTAGAGGTTTGAGGGAAACGTCTTAATTTTGTGTAAATTATGCGTTCAATAATTTTGTGGAATTCTATTTTCAAGTCCGTTTACGTAAAAGGTTAGCTGTTAAAACCATATATACATTGCCATGTATCTGTTGCTAGCCGCAGAATTATTTGAGAGAAAAATAAAGTCATTTTCTCGGAAAACGTGACCAATCACAATTGGACTTCATTTTTGCCTCGAGATTACGTAGTACTAATGAATATTCACTCCTTCGCTAAAACAAAACCGGGGCAACAATTTGTATAACTTGGTATATGTTAAACCCATCGAGGCAAGTACACTGCCAAGTAATGCGCGTAACTCTCCGTACAACTTAAAGATCGTTGATGGCGTGTGGCTTGCAAAGTTTTGGTAGTTATTATCAAAGTATTTTGCATTTTTGTTAGAACTGGTGGGTTAGAAATAATGATGTTATGCAATGCTCCAAACCATGAGGATGATTGATCAAGTTGGAAACATTCACAAGATAAGGTTGTTTAGTTGTGCTCTGAAACCTGTCGATAGTCTATTATTTTATATTTACAGCAGTATCTAAGACAAACTAGTCCTCAGCTTTTTTTCAATCTCTAATTACGTGTTCGATATTTATGGAACTTGTTTTTCTAGACATTTAAACTATTGTATCTTCAGTTGATATAAAGAGTCAAGAATTAATCGTAATAGTTAGATATTAGTTACTTTGGCGAGTGATTGACTTATAGTCGTAACATTCTTCAGTCGCTTATTTGTCAAATGACTTCTAATCATGTATGTTTCTGAGTAAAATTTTCTGCATATGACCATGTCATTTTCTTAGAATAAAAACCCTGTTCTATTGGACAGCTTTTTTCGGTACCAGCTCATTTATGGTGTATGTTAATTATTCGGTCTCATGACCAGTTATCACTCGATAAAATTGTATCACTGCATATTATTCATTGATCAGCGCACCTTATACATTAATACAACAATCCCTAAACGTTTTTTTTTTCATTTGCGAGTCGTTAAAGGTAATTCGTAACCGTAGTTATCACTAAATTATTTCTGTCGTTTCTTATAAACTAGGGACTGCCAGTAATCGGAACTAGTTTGACACAGTTGCGTTCATCTCTCAAACTTGAATTTATACCTTCTCTAGCCTAACAGTTAGATTCCAGACCTACACCCAGATAATTCCTGGATTTAACTCATCCAGGTCAGCTTCTGTTCATTACTTTGAGTTAACAACAAGGTCATGTCAGATAGTCTTCTCAAACAGTGAGGTCATAAGCCACACCAAATTAACAAACATAACCGCTTTAGTGTTGATAACGATGTTTTATAATCTGCCGGAAAGTAAAAACTTGGTCAACTAACTCTCTCGTATCTGAGACATTGCTTTTTGAATTCCTTTGAATCATAAGAGACTACTAAACAAACGGTTTGGTGCGGTGACCATATAGAAAAACCTTTGAAATGATCAATAGTCGGAAATATTTTGCCAAAACTATCTATTGTTTTCCTAACCCTTTAGTAACTTTACTGAGTCTAGTAATTGCTAATCATCACTCTTGAAGGATTTTAAAGTAAACTATCACATCCTAATCTTTTAACCTGCTTTATGTTTGTCACCACTTGCCTAACTTTGATGGGAGTTGAATGACAGTCGCCATATTCTTCTTGACAGCTGATGCATTACCAAGGGAGTAGGAATGACTCCTAGTCAACCGAAATTTTCTCCAGTTTACCATCTAATGCCAAAAGACGTCACTACCACAGACACCATATGAATTCTTTTTCATTTTGTTACTTGCGTTTCTCTGTTCTGGTATGATTAGTATAAATTAATGCACATTTATACCATACCCTACGTTATGGCTGTCTGATGGTTTTGGAGTTTTGATCGCCATTATCGCTCAGGAAAAAAATGGACTGTTTGATTCAGGTGTCACGTTCTAAAGTCACAGTTTCAAATTTAGTGTTTGATCATTTCCACTGTTAAAAACATGTCAGATATTTCAAACTTGTGTTCATGAACTCAATAGGTAATCCATTTTTGCAAACGGTATATACAGGAAACCATAACGAGGCAACAACTATTTTAAGTGACTAATATGGTCGAACACTCCAGTTAGTCATGTTTTTTATTCAATGGCCGCATTTCTGAATCAGAAAGGAGAAGAGTGAAGTACGTTTGTTTGCAATCAAATTTATCTTGACTAATTAAACCAGTCATTGTCGTTTATTTATGAAGGGTTATTCGAAGTTTATCGTCGAGTAAATATTGGTCACAGAGTAATAACTAGTGTTACGTTTCCTTAGTACCTATTCTATCAAGCTGCACTGTGGTCACTAGATGCTAAGACTAGCGCAAGAATAGTCAAAATCCATTGGAAAGGCGAAAATATCTTCTAATGTTACCACCGAGGTTTCATGTGTTGGGTATAATTGATTGTTGTCAGTTCCGAAAAAACAATTGTTTTAGAGTGGCTCAATCATTTTTGTTCCTAGATTCGTAACACCATAGTCAGTACTGAACCCCAATAACAAGACATAACACTAGTCTTAGTAACTAACACCCACACGCTATGTTTTGATGTATAAAATTCACGGTCGTACTAAAGTGTGTCCTCAAGATCTCAGGATATCTAGCAGAAATTTAAAAAACTGCATACTCATGAATACATATACGTTTCAGAATACTTGTGGCTTGTTTTTTAAGAGAATATTTATTCCTAAAATACCTTTAATTGGTTCCCAATTAGTTCCTATTCAGTGTTCCATTTTGCTTATTCTTTTCGTTTGTAGATGGCAGAACACTGGTCAGTCGGACCCACAGTTCATTTTGGTTCACATTCGCTTCTTCCCTCCACTGACCTTCAAATATTGTGGGACCTACTTCAGTGTAGGGACTGCTGGTTCAGACGCATTTATCACCAACTTGCTGTCAACGAACTTCGGTCAAATTCAGTTGTGGCACTAAGCCCTCGGAAAAGTTCAATCCCTTCTGTTCCCTTCCATAGTCTTACGAGAGCGATCCAAGCAGTCTTACGTGGCCTCAATCTAAATCGTAAATGCCCATCAAAACTAGACACGAAAGCGACCAACTTAGCATCATTTCTGCATTTGCATATAAAGACTAGTTATCATCATATAACTGTAGTCAGTACCAAATTCTGTATCAAAAGACAGTATTGGGTCTGCCCTTCTCATGGACGTCGTTTGTTCGATTTGCTATACTGTAGTGGCAACTTTAGTATTCCGGAGCGGAAAGATGAGTTAGACTTCGATTTAACTATTCGTTCAATAATCCCTCAGGGTCAATCTGATTTCTTTCGATCTGTTCAGCTTTCAAGCTCCTCAGATGAAAGTGATGAACCGGAACAGACTTTTTCTGTTCAGATCCACACTCCAGAGCTGTATATAGTAAAGCCAAATCCAGAAGGTTCTCACAATCATTTGTCTACGAAGGCATGTTCCACCGAACCCGAAAAATTCATAAGCAAACAACTTTATGAAGTCAACAGGAAATGGTCGTTCAAATACAGTGTAAATGACTTAAACCATAAACATCTGTACAGTGAAAACGAAGCTCGACATACCTGTGATTCTCACAATGAAAGAAAACTAGATGGTCCAAAACATGTGCATTTTCCTAGGGGGAACCCTATCTCTGCTGTATACAATCTTTATACATATGCTACAGCAAGCAGGTTGGAAAGGTCTAATCGTATTTGGGAAATAGAAGCAAGGTCTCGCTACTTCGATCGTTTGAAGTATTTAATATCAAATGGTTTCGAGGCTGACCTAGCATCCCAGTTGGCAGGAGATGATGAATCTACGGAAATTCACTCTAGTGTTAATAAAGCTCTTGACAATAAAGCATATAAGCAAGACAATCTCAAACCGACGAATATAATATCTAAGCGTTCAAAACCTCGACATCGCAAACGTAATCGAAAACGTGGATCCAACCCAGTATCCCTGTTATCTTCACATTCACATAATGCAACCGACCCTAGTATTTCACGAAATAAAATTGATGATAACTATCAGAAATGTGTATCCCTTGCACAATAATTATCAGGTTAAGCAGATGTCCTTTGAGCTTTTGTCTCAATTTATTGTACAGTTTTCATTAAAATCTGTGATATCTGTCAGTGATTTGATTGCACGTTATTTTTTATACAGAATCTCATTAATTCGATATAAACTACTGTTCTCACTTGTCACTGTTTTCAGATTTTTATCTAGTGTTAGCTTTCTTAGACTAATCTATGTTAATATTCCAAAAGTACAGCTTTAAGAATCGTTATTTCGTGTCATTAATGTAGACATGTTTTTGCTCGCGAAAAAGTGTAATTCAGATATAATTAGTTCTTAGCGGTATTTGAAGTAAGGTATTAAGTAATTCTTTGACTCTACCTGTGTCTTGATATGTCATTAAGTCAGTGACGTTTTGCAATAAATGAAACAAACTTTATGAAATTAAACTAAATTGTTTTCCACTCATCTAGGATGCCAAAAATGAAAAGATTTTATCATACTCCAATTCAGTGTCAAAGAACGAATTAGGGTTTTACTGCATAATTGAATAGCTAATAGGTAAATATTTAACTTATGACAATATTAATTATAGAGGTTTCACACTAATGCACAGCATAACATTTAGCTCATAATGCGTTGTATGCTTGTGTTTGTTTCTGCTGTAAATATGACATCTAAGATCCTGCGAGCTCAAATAAATTCGATGGGTCGAGACCAATAATCTTAGATTAAACCCATGAACGGTATTGTTACGTGAATACTGAAAGTCCACTGTTTGTGGCGTTTCTCTGCTCAGCTGTACACTATTTTCTGTAGATGAAAATCTGTTTGAAGTTGGATGAACGAACTGTGACCTTAAAGACTACTTAATTTATGTCTGCCACTTAATTTCCCCTTGAATTTGTCTATATCTCAAACAGCGTGCTGATTGTGTATCTCAAAAGGACTTATTTTCTTTTCGGAGAAAAATATTTAATATAACACTGAAAATTTGAGTACTTTGCATCGTTTGATATATATATATATATATATATATATATATATATATATATATATATATATATGACTACCTACATACATAAAGTCACCTGGTAGCTGAGTGTATAGAATTGTCAATCTTCTACAAACAAGTAACTAAAGGTGTGATAAATATTTACTGTGATTACAAAGCATTCTAGTAGTTTTGGTTTTACGCACTCAGAAATCGTAACATAGAGGTGTTTTCTCGGAAAAATATTTAAGTTTTTGTTTTTATGTAATAAAGATCATTTAACCCTACATATTTTGATTTTTTGTGTGGGAGTAAGTTGGGAAAATTACCGACATTCAAATCACAATGTGAGTCATCGAGTTAATTTGTCCCATCCAACTAAATTGTTTGCCTTCACTTTGTCTTTCACTATCAGCAATATTATTGTTATCGTTTCAACCTCTCTGATTCTCATCATGGTAATTTCCTTTTTTTGTGTTGATGTAATGTGGATACTTGAACTGATGTACATTCGATCCAGATGCGATATTGTCTCGGAGTGATTAAGTAAGATACAACATAGTTGGACAAAGGTGGAAAATGTCTGGTAGTGTGTTTCCCAGAATATGTACTTTCTATGAAATCTAACTAGAAATTCCTAGCTACCTTTTTAAAGGATGACATAACTGGAACTAAATCGGAATCTTATTTCCTATACAAAAGATAGTTATGATTTCCATCCTATTTTTGCATGTCATTGACCTCAAGAATCGTTTAAAAAGTGACCTGTGGAATATAGTGAACACTTGTCAAAATGAAAAATCTTGTTCTCTCTATTCTAATGAATAAAAACTCAAAGTAATTATCCATGATGGTATTTTTTTCAGGTGCAGGCGTGCAGTAGAACTAAGAGCATTCCTCGGTTTGGTGAGAAATTTTAGAGGTTTGAGGGAAACGTCTTAATTTTGTGTAAATTATGCGTTCAATAATTTTGTGGAATTCTATTTTCAAGTCCGTTTACGTAAAAGGTTAGCTGTTAAAACCATATATACATTGCCATGTATCTGTTGCTAGCCGCAGAATTATTTGAGAGAAAAATAAAGTCATTTTCTCGGAAAACGTGACCAATCACAATTGGACTTCATTTTTGCCTCGAGATTACGTAGTACTAATGAATATTCACTCCTTCGCTAAAACAAAACCGGGGCAACAATTTGTATAACTTGGTATATGTTAAACCCATCGAGGCAAGTACACTGCCAAGTAATGCGCGTAACTCTCCGTACAACTTAAAGATCGTTGATGGCGTGTGGCTTGCAAAGTTTTGGTAGTTATTATCAAAGTATTTTGCATTTTTGTTAGAACTGGTGGGTTAGAAATAATGATGTTATGCAATGCTCCAAACCATGAGGATGATTGATCAAGTTGGAAACATTCACAAGATAAGGTTGTTTAGTTGTGCTCTGAAACCTGTCGATAGTCTATTATTTTATATTTACAGCAGTATCTAAGACAAACTAGTCCTCAGCTTTTTTTCAATCTCTAATTACGTGTTCGATAGTTATGGAACTTGTTTTTCTAGACATTTAAACTATTGTATCTTCAGTTGATATAAAGAGTCAAGAATTAATCGTAATAGTTAGATATTAGTTACTTTGGCGAGTGATTGACTTATAGTCGTAACATTCTTCAGTCGCTTATTTGTCAAATGACTTCTAATCATGTATGTTTCTGAGTAAAATTTTCTGCATATGACCATGTCATTTTCTTAGAATAAAAACCCTGTTCTATTGGACAGCTTTTTTCGGTACCAGCTCATTTATGGTGTATGTTAATTATTCGGTCTCATGACCAGTTATCACTCGATAAAATTGTATCACTGCATATTATTCATTGATCAGCGCACCTTATACATTAATACAACAATCCCTAAACGTTTTTTTTTTCATTTGCGAGTCGTTAAAGGTAATTCGTAACCGTAGTTATCACTAAATTATTTCTGTCGTTTCTTATAAACTAGGGACTGCCAGTAATCGGAACTAGTTTGACACAGTTGCGTTCATCTCTCAAACTTGAATTTATACCTTCTCTAGCCTAACAGTTAGATTCCAGACCTACACCCAGATAATTCCTGGATTTAACTCATCCAGGTCAGCTTCTGTTCATTACTTTGAGTTAACAACAAGGTCATGTCAGATAGTCTTCTCAAACAGTGAGGTCATAAGCCACACCAAATTAACAAACATAACCGCTTTAGTGTTGATAACGATGTTTTATAATCTGCCGGAAAGTAAAAACTTGGTCAACTAACTCTCTCGTATCTGAGACATTGCTTTTTGAATTCCTTTGAATCATAAGAGACTACTAAACAAACGGTTTGGTGCGGTGACCATATAGAAAAACCTTTGAAATGATCAATAGTCGGAAATATTTTGCCAAAACTATCTATTGTTTTCCTAACCCTTTAGTAACTTTACTGAGTCTAGTAATTGCTAATCATCACTCTTGAAGGATTTTAAAGTAAACTATCACATCCTAATCTTTTAACCTGCTTTATGTTTGTCACCACTTGCCTAACTTTGATGGGAGTTGAATGACAGTCGCCATATTCTTCTTGACAGCTGATGCATTACCAAGGGAGTAGGAATGACTCCTAGTCAACCGAAATTTTCTCCAGTTTACCATCTAATGCCAAAAGACGTCACTACCACAGACACCATATGAATTCTTTTTCATTTTGTTACTTGCGTTTCTCTGTTCTGGTATGATTAGTATAAATTAATGCACATTTATACCATACCCTACGTTATGGCTGTCTGATGGTTTTGGAGTTTTGATCGCCATTATCGCTCAGGAAAAAAATGGACTGTTTGATTCAGGTGTCACGTTCTAAAGTCACAGTTTCAAATTTAGTGTTTGATCATTTCCACTGTTAAAAACATGTCAGATATTTCAAACTTGTGTTCATGAACTCAATAGGTAATCCATTTTTGCAAACGGTATATACAGGAAACCATAACGAGGCAACAACTATTTTAAGTGACTAATATGGTCGAACACTCCAGTTAGTCATGTTTTTTATTCAATGGCCGCATTTCTGAATCAGAAAGGAGAAGAGTGAAGTACGTTTGTTTGCAATCAAATTTATCTTGACTAATTAAACCAGTCATTGTCGTTTATTTATGAAGGGTTATTCGAAGTTTATCGTCCAGTTATCTGTCAAGGTGACTTGATAATATGGCATGTACAGTGTTCAATTATTTTCCATCAGTATCCTGCCAACAATAACTTCGTTATTCATCATTACTTGATTGCTACTAGGCGTGCTGCTGAGTCGAGACAATATATATGAAACTTGAAGTTATTCTTTGTCTAATTGCTTGGTTATTGATCCAGCAGTTACTTGATTTTACTCTTTACTCGAATCTAACTACACACCAAATTTTGATTCACTCACTTGCTCTTTTCTTTTATCATTCAATAATTACAGTCGATTAGCCATTAGTCTGGTTTGAATCGAATATGCCTTAGTTATGTATATACTGAAGCACTGTGATTTGTCTTGATATTATATTTTGTTTGTATAATCATATAAAGTATGGATCTAAAATAGTATGGTTACTGGTAATCAGTTATCTGGCTTCCTATTGTGTATATTTTCCTAGCTTATTGTAATAGAGATAATGGCATAGGCAAAAACGCAACACACACGGTTTGGTCTAAGGTGAGGGTGAGTTTTTCGGAATCCTTTGCTTTGTATGTTTAACCCACTCGACATTTTAGGTTTTCTCAGATTGATAATATTATTTCTTTTGAAGTTATAAAATTGAGTAACTGTTGATTATCCCTTGAATACATTTGGGGTTGGTTTACATTCAGGATACTTTAGTTGAGTTATTTCTACTTGTGTAGTGCAAATAGACAAAACCCAGTGATGAAATGAAAGTTTATGCACCAGGATCGCTTACACTTACCAAAGGGTGTTAAGATAAATGGCAGTTCTCTAAGCTAGGTTCGCGTTAAGTCTTATTAAATCCCTAATTTTTCTTTAAGAAAGCAAACATTCTAGTGAAAATAAATCCGTCTGTGACAACTTCACGTTTAAAAGCTGTAAAATGAATCCGAACTGTGCCGATGACTTGGATATGCGGCATATCCAAATTCGTAAGGGTTCCTGGTCGTGAAAAACTTCGTGAAGTGGAGCAGGTTAAATAGATCATTGACTAATATCCCTGGAGTATAAATACACTATGGCTAATTGTCCTGAGTGCTTAATAACAATGAAATAAATGTCT